TAGGCGAGTTCGGTGTCGCCGCTGGGGTCGAAGGGGGAGGCCGATCCACTCGAGCGACTCGCCTGCGGCCTTGACGACGATTGGCCGTTCCCCAGGGTCCCAGCGACGTCCAAATCGGTAGGACGACCGTCTTGTCCGTGTTGAGCCGGCCATTCGTTCATGCCTCCAGTCGAGCGCCAGGTCATCGAGCAAGTTGAGTGACTCCAAGCCCGCGACGGCGACGACAACGTCATCGGCAAATGCAAGTGATGTAATGGCGCGGCTCTGTGGGTACGGATGAAGTGCAGGTATGGAGAGATTCAGCGCGATGTTTCGACGGTGTAGAGCATCCAGGAACGGCTGAAACACGATGTCCCAGACCGACGATGACGCCGGGTCCCCTTGGCCGAGCCCCACGTCAGTCGCACCGGCGCCGTCAGGAACCCATTGATGATGTAGCGCGCCGAGGTCGAGTCACCCGAGTAGAGCATCCTCAGCACGCGAAGAAAGGTGGTAGGAACGCCCAGAGCGTCGAAAATGGCAAAGATCCAGTCATGCTCGACGAGGTCGTAGGCGGATGATTGGTCAAGAGACAAGAGCGCGGCCGCGGGGAACTCGGTCCTGCGCGCGCCAAGTTCCTCGATCAGGAGCGTCGGCCGATCGGCCTTGACGAAGCCGTGCTGCTGCGGCGGGAGGAGATCGGGCAGAATTTGGTTCAATCGGGCGACGTAGACCTTGGTAAAAATCTTGTAATCGCACTCGCGCAGGGTGATGGGCGATACGAACGAGAGTTCGGCGCGATCGGCATTTTCTTGTGGCGCTTGAAGATGAGGCGCCGAGTCCCTGGCCTGCTTGGGAGAGAGTGAACCGCGCTCGATCATCGCGTTGTAGGCCTTGGTCAGCACCTTGGACCACGCCTCCGGTGCGGTCTGATAGAGTTCGTAAGGCACGCCCGACGGGCCCGGCGATCGCCCCGGGTGCGTCGTCCCGATCGCGGCCACGACCTCGTCCTCGGTGATGGGTTGCTGGAGAGATCAATCTGCGCTTCCGAGAGTCGGCGCAGAAAGAGCGGATCTGAGCGCGGGTCGTCGCAAGTCCGTGCCGCCCTGATCGGCACGAGGAGTTCGTCCGAAGTCGGTCGACGCGTTCCGGATCACGAGGCTCGATGTGGTAGAGGCGCTGGAAATGCGCCTGCGTGTGGTCAAGAGCGACATCAATGTCATGCGTTAGCTCTCCGTTGCCCAAGCGCAGTGCTGTGATCTTGGAGTCCGAGTTCCCGCCGCGAGCTTGGCGTGGACCGGCCGCGACAGTCGTTCCTCGGAAGCGATCTCGGGGACGTGGGCTCGGATCCGGAGTAGGCGCGCGCGCTCCTCGACCGCCCGCTTGAGTTCCTCGGACGTCCTTGTCCATTCTGCCGTTTCCGCCTCCCCCCATACCGGTAACGCCTCCAGATCCTGCACCCTCCCCACCAAATACTCCATCCGTTCCGTCCGCTCCCGATGCAGCCTCCTCGCCATCTCCCACCCTGTCCCTGCACGCCTCCAGAACCTCCTCAAGCTCTCGCACCGGATCCTCCCCGCTTGCCCCTTCCAACCATCCTTTCATCATCCGCTGAAATTCCACCGTCTTGAAGGTTGTGGTATTGATTCGATGTAGTTGGTTGGATGTGGTAGGTAGCTGAGCTGTGGGAGAGCCGCATCAAGATCGTCTGAGAGAGCCAGTACGATCAAGACCGGTCGGTGATCGGAAAGATCCTTGGGATAGTCGTAGATCGTCGAGGCTGGTCGAGCCTTTTTTGGTGAGCTCTTTGTAGGAGAAAGTAGTCAAGCCGGGAGAAGGAGTTGGGTCGCTTGCGATTGGGATTAGGTCGAGTGAAAGATGGGGTGATGGGGTGCTTGTAGCGGATGCAGTCCGTGTAGGCCGAGTCGAGCTTGCCCATCAGAATCGGCCAGTGGTGGCCGCGCCGACTTTGGTTCCGCCGATCGACTTCTGGGCGCGGGCAGTCGTTGAGATCGCCGCCAAGGAGTCGGAGGTGGGATTTCTGTGTTTTGTGGAGGATCAGTTTGTCGAAGAATTTTGCTCGTTGTTTTGGGTCAACGGGCGCGTAGAGGTTATTGATTTCTAGAATTTTGATGTCGCCCCGCAGACGAAAGGAGGTGACGAGGAGCCGGCCGTCGAGTGCCGAGTGGGTGCGCAAGAGCTCGGCGTCGATCAGGGGCGAGTCGGCCGGGATCAGGGTCAGGCAGTGCTGGTTGATGAAGAGCTTGCCCTCGTACTCGTCCTTGATGAGCTGCCAGAATTGTGGTCTGATGAAATGCTCTTGTAAGAGAATCGCGGAAGCTTTGAATGTGGAAAGGTAGGTGTAGATATTACGTCGTTTTTCCGGGACCCCCATGCCCCTTCTTACGTTCCAGGTGATGATGGTGTGCTTGATCATTAATGGGTAGTCGAGGTCGAGGCGCTCTTGGCGGTGGTGACGTCCTCAAAGAGGGGAAGGGCGGGCAGGACATCGTCCTCGGGCTCGTGGTCGGACCATCGTTTTTCCTCAGCTACCCCTCTTCCTTTCCCTCTGTCCACCTTCGTCACCTCGACCTGCATCGCCGCTGCCGCCGACATCGACCTCGTCACCCTCCGCCCCTCTATTCCATCCTTCACCACGACGCGGCTCTTCCCTTTGATGATGACTCGCTTGGCGTCGGTCGGTTCGTCACTTGGGTCACTGAGGTCCGCCGCAGTCTGCGACCTCTTCATCACCTGCTTCTTGAACTTCGCAGCGGTCCCCCTGATGTTGATGGAGCGTATCTCACCGTCCTCGTCCCACGTGGCAAAGTTGTGACGCACCAGAGGGGTTTCAGCGTTGAGCCTCCTCTCGATGCTTTGGTCCCGCTCAAGTCGTGCCTGCTCAACCCAGTTAGCTCTGATCCTGTCCCACTCCTCCCCCTCGCGTAGCGACTTGGCGAGAGTTTCGGGTGACAGAGGTGGGGTTGGTTCATGCGGCGTCGATTCGCGGGAAGCGGTGGCGGCGGTTGCTGTGGCGTCGCTGTCGTCGTCATTGTCCAGCCTGTTCGTTTCCCCTAAGTCCGTCGCTTCCGCATTCTCCGCTTTCGTCGATCCCCTCGCTTCGTCCACATCGCCCACCTCCGTCGCCACCTCCTCTTCCTCCATCTCCGTAGCCACCTCTCCTTCCGTTTCACCTCTTTCATCCGCCATCACCTCATTCTCATCAATCACCTCTCCATCGGATCCGCTGCAGTCCTCCAAGACCGACTCGTCCTCGCTTTCAATTTTGATGACCTCCGTTTTCGCGGCCGCCTCCGATTCCATCTCCGAGTCCTCCGAGTCCTCGTCATCCGCCTTATCACCAGCGTCTTCCTCCCCCGATTCCTCCGGTCCCTGTTCGCCCTGGCCAGTTACCTCTTCCTCCTGTCCCTCCTCGACCTCGAGCCCGGCGAAGTGATTCTGTGATGCGATCCTGTTAACAACCAGCACAGGAATGGGGGCCTCGGCCTCCGCGATGTTGGTGTTGTGGGTGATGGTGTTTTTGTTGCTGTTGATGATGCCGTTGTGAGCCTCCTTCCGCTTCCTCTCCTGATCCAGTCCGCAGGTTCCCACGTGACCCACAAAGTGGCACCTACCGCAAGCCGCCTCCTTCTCATAGTCATGGCGAAGGGCGGTAACCGGGATGCCTCGAGTGGGAAGGTCGATCCTCGAAGGTAGAATCTCCTTCAAGGTCGTGTTGGGGCGTTGGAATAGGGAGTCGTCATCGAAGTGTAGGAAAGCCGAGTAGTCTCCGGCAACGTGGGCGAAGGCCGAGGCGTTGTCCACGCTGATAACGCGCAGAACCTGCACAAGTTGGCATGAATGTCCCTTGGCTGACAGGTCTTGCACAAGTGATTGGAACGATTTGATGATGGCATCCATGGAGGGCACTCCTTGAACACCGACGTTGATTCGAAGCTCGACCATGTTATGGTGGAACCTGTGAGACTTCGCGAAGCGGGCCTTCGCCGATCGCCAAGTGAGAGCGGGGGGCGTCGTGAGCGCCGCGTCACGTGCCTCGCCGGTGACGAACCCAACCGTAACGCGATGGTGAGCCGCCCCATTACGCAGGATTGATGAATGTTGTACGCCTAAGATCTGTGGTTGATAAGCCGCAAGATGGTCCGGCAGAGGAACTCCAGGCTCAAAGCAGATAGGAGAGATGGGCGATAGCAGCCTCGTGACGCAGGCCACGAGATCGATCTTGTCGGCATGAGTCGCTCGCGAGGCGCTCTGGTGAGACAGAGTCACTTCAAGGGCGTAATCGAAGATGTTCTCGACGGACCGGTTCGCGTTCAAGGCCGAAAATTTCAGCGATGTGGCGGTGGCGACGGGGTAGAGTTCGGCGAAGTAGATGGCCTGGACCCAGCGATCCATACGGTTTCCGGGTACAGCACCCATGGCTTGTAGGAGGCTGCCCAGAGCCTTGGCACGCTGTTGTTGTTGTTGCTGTTGTTCAGGTGTTTGAGCCGCCATCTGACTCGCAGCGGCAGCATAGTTGGGTGCGGCGGTGGCGGGGCCCGTGACTTGCGTCTTCTTCGAGCTTATCGGGATCCGGTCGCGGGGGGGCTGGACGCTGGCGGCGGATACCGGTGGTGGCGGTGCCGGCAGTGGGGACCCAGGGTCTCCGGTAGACATCTTGTCGGTGTATCACTTGTTAACTCGAGTATCGAAGGCTGCAGTAGGGCGATTGTGAAGTGAAGTGAAGTGAAGTGAAGTGAAGTGAAGTGAAGTGAGAAGAAAGATTTGGACTAAGAGCGTTGGAGTGCATCAACAACGGCAATTTTAAGTAAAAGGCGTAAGATTGATTCTGTGGTCGATACACCGCTCAATGATGATTTTTTTTTTGTAGAAAACGTTCATCATATTGCCCCCAATTCCTGTTCCCCCTGTTTCGGCCTACGGAAAAACTAGATGGAAGACTACGATGATAACACAAACCGCCCGCAAAAGTGCGAGAAACGAGCCAAGTCCACCAATCCGAGATTCGGATTCAAATGCCCTAGCCAAGCGGTTGCTCCCCCCAGGAGACGAATGAGAGAGAGAAAGAGAGATGAAGAGAAAGAGAAAGAGAAAGAGAAAGAAAAGAAATGTACTAACGACAGAAGGCCCACCCCACAGCCACTTCCCACTCGGTCGAGACGAAGACAAGAGCACGACTGCGCAACCACCACGACCCTCGACGCTCCAAGTCTCTGCTCAGTCACAACAAGACGCGGTGAAGGTCCCTCAAAACCTCCCCCTCGGCAGTCCCTGGCCCCTCAAAGCCGACTTTCTGCCTGTGTCCGCTGATCCCTCCCTTGACTCAGAACCCCGAAGCCGAAGAGCGCGAGCCACACCGAGTCGACGCCAAATCGCGAGATGGTCCATGATCCGCAACGGTGAACCTGTAACAAAAGAAAGAGGAAAGCGAGCTATTTAGTGTACAGTAGGAGAAAATGATGTCACGAGAATTTGGTGTGTGTGTGGTGGTGGGGGGAAAGTCGAACCCAGCCTCTACTGCCTTCTCCTCCCCCAAGCTCCTCCCGCCCTCAGCTTCAACCTCTCCTCCAAGATTATCCTCCTCCTCCCAACACCCTCCATCCTCGTCCCCCACTTCTGCATCCCCCACCTCCCGCTGCTGATCATCTCCAAGACCAGCCCGGTGAATATTTCGATCGTCCTCCCCGCTCCTTCTTGATCGCGCAGACTGGCCTTGAGCTTCGGAAGTCCGAACATGCGTTGAACGGCCGTGTAATGCGTGTTGTCGATCGTGTCGAGCCCCAGTGCGTCGCAGAGCACGCCCCTTGCCGCGATCCAAACGTTCCTAGAGTCAACGCAGTCGAAGAAGTAGTGCTCCCGATCGTCCTTGGGCGCTCCACAGACGAGGCACGCGGGCGAGTCGTCGTGCTTTTGATGAAACTGCAGACTCCGAGTCGGGGTGAAGTTCCTGACGAGCTTGAACCACACCTCGCGTTCCCTCGCCGTCAATGCCTTCGAGTTGACCCCCTTCCAGAATCCCTTGAGATCGTCGGGCTGCAGCGAGTCCCTGAAACCGATCGTGTCGGTGAAGGCCTTTGCATTCAAGACTCGGCGGACGCGACGGATGGTGTATGGCCGATCCATGCTGAGCAAGTTGTATTGTGTTGATTGGTCTGGGAGAGCCGGTCTCGGAAGGCGCTGCGGCGGGTCGATCGGATGGGGCAGGATCGACTCGAGCGGCGTGGTGGGGCGGACTCGGGGAGGCCCGTTGATTCGTACTGCCGCCACCGGTTGAGCTATTGGTGTGAACCTCAATCGATTGATCGCATGTCGGTACCATGCCACGATGTGCTCTCGTTGTGGGCGGCCCCGTTGATCGTATTCGCTGTTGCTGACGACCACATCCGTCGGCGGCGTCCAGAGATGAAAGCCCCCGCCCGGGTACAGCTCGCGTCGAAACAGGTCCGCTACCTTGGCGTAAATGGCAAACGCAGCATAGTCGGCGTCGTAGGGTGGTCGCGACACAGCTGGTGCTCCCGGTAGGTAGTGAAGGGTGTGCAACTTGATCGGAAGAGCGAGAAGGTTCGCGAGCGTCAACGTCCTCGGCTTGACTTGCGCATTGTGCGTCGATGGTACCTTCAGCACGGCCTGCCATCTTGGGTGTAGATCGGTTCGGATCGGAGTGTAGTCGCAAGGCCACGCATCGGTTGCCAAGTCAAAGTCGGGGGCGGGATGGGCTCGTACAATCGCCGCGCGCGCAAGTCCCTGCCAGATCGCATCCGAACCGCCAAGAAGCACGTCCCAGACGCGTGCCGCAACCGAGTCGACGACGTCCTGCATCCGCATGACCCCAAGACCCCCCTTGAACCTCGGTGTGAAGACGACGTCCTTGCCATAGCACGACCTCCTCTTGCCGCCGCGGACAAAGTCGGCGAGAATGCGATCAAGCTCCTTGACGACCTCGAGCGGTGGGATGTCGGCGGAGAGGATGTGCAGAATCTTGGGAATGGCGTATCGGTTGACGTAGAACGCTCGGGTGTGGTGTGTGAGCCCTCGGTCCCGTGCCGAATCGAGCACCGCTTCGAGCCGTGCGACGAGATTCACGTTGGCGAGTTCGGTGTTGCCGGTGGGGTCGAAAGATAGGCCGATCCACTCGAGCGACTCGCCCTCGGCCTTGACGACGAGCGGACGATCGCCAGCCTCCCAGCGACACCCGATGGGTAGTACGACGGTCTTGTCGGTGTTGAGCCGGCCATTGGTTGCGAGCCTCCAGTCGAGCGCCAGGTCGTCGAGCAAGTTGAGTGACTCCGAGCCCGCGACGGCGACGACGACGTCATCGGCAAACGCAAGGGATGTAATGGCGCGGCTCTGTGGGTAGGGGTGAATGGTAGGAAGCGAGAGGTTCAGCGCGATGCCTCGACGGTGCAGAGCATCCAGGAACGGCTGGAACACGACATCCCAGACCGACGACGACGCCGGGTCCCCTTGGCCGAGCCCACACGTCAGCCGCACCGGCGGAGTCAAGAAGCCGTTGATGATATATCGCGCCGTGGTTGAGTCACCCGAGTAGAGCATCCTCAGAACGCGTTGGAAGGCGGCAGGAGCGCCGAGAGCGTCGAAGATGGCGAAGATCCATTCGTGCTCGACGAGGTCGTAAGCCGACGATTGGTCAAGAGACAAGAGCGCCGCGTCAGGGAACTCGGTGCCGCGCGCGCCCAGCTCCTCGATCAAGAGTCGCAGGTGGAATGACGCGTCCGCCGATCGGCGGCCCTTGACGAAGCCGTGCTGTTGCGGTGGGAGCAGGTCCGGCAGCACGTGGTTGAGTCGCGCAACGTAGACCTTGGTGAAGAGCTTGTAGTCGCACTCGCGCAAGGTGATGGGCCGGTACGACGAGAGCTCGGCGCGATCGGCCCCGATCTTGTGGTGCTTGAAGAGCAGGCGAGCGAGTCCTTGCCCCTGCTTCGGTGAAAGCGAGCCGCGCTCGGTCATCGCGTTGAAGGCCCTGCTCAGCGCCTTGGCCCACGCCCGCGGCGCTGTGTGATAGAGCTCGTAGGGCACGCCAGATGGACCCGGCGATCGACCGGGGTGTGTTGTTGCGATTGCGGCTACGACCTCGTCCTCGGTGATGGGTTGCTGCAGCAGCTCGATGTGCGCTTCCGAGAGTCGTCGCAGAAAGAGCGGGTCCGAGCTCGGGTCATCGCAAGTGCGCGCCGACCTGATCGGCGCCAAGAAATCGTCCCTAAGTCGCTCGACGTGGTCCCGATCGCGCGGCTCGAGATCGTAGAGGCGCTGAAAGTGCGCCTGTGTGTGGTCAAGCGCGACGTCAATGTCATGTGTCAGCTCTCCGTTGGGCAATCGCAGTGCTGTGATCTTGGAATCCGAACTCCGTGCCGCGAGCTTGGCGTGGACCGGCCGCGACAGTCGTTCCTCGGTAGCGATTTCGGGTACGTGGGCTCGGATCCGAAGTTGGCGCGCGCGCTCGTTGACCGCTCGCCTAAGTTCCTCCGTCGTCCGCGTCCATTCGGCCGTCTCCTCGTCCCCCATCACCGGCAACGCCTCCAGATCCTGCACCCTTCCCACCAAGACCGCCATCCGCTCCACCCGCTCCCGATGCTCCCTCCTCGCCAGCTCCCGACCCTCCTTCGCGCAGTTCCCCAGCACCACCTCGAGCTCCCCCACCGGTTCCTCCCCACTCGCTCCTTCCAACCATCCTTCCAACATCCCCTGGAACTCCGCCGTCTTGAAGGTCGCCGCGTTGATACGATGTAATTGGTTTGATGTCGTTGGTAAACTGTTGTTGGGTTGAGCCGCGTCTCCTCGCTCATCCGAGAGAACTAGGACGATCGAGACCGGTCGGTGATCCGAAAGGTCCTTGGGGTGGTCGTAGATCGTCGAGGCTTGGACGAGTCGCTTTTGGTGGGTGCGCTGCAGAAGGAAGTAGTCAAGTCGTGAAAAGGACTTTGGTCGCTTGCGGACGATGTTGGGTCGAGTGAAAGATGGTGTGAGCGGGTGTTTGAATCGTATGCAGTCGGTGTAGGGCGAGTCGAGCTTGCCGATCAGGATCGGCCAGTGATGGCCGTGCCGACCTTGGTTCCGCCGATCGATCGCCGGCAGCGGGCAGTCGTTGAGATCGCCGCCGAGGAGTCGAAGGTGGGTGCTCTGCGTCCTGTGGAAATGTAGTTTGTCAAAGAATGTGAGTCGTTGTTTTGTATCGACTGGTGCGTAAATGTTGTTGATCTCGAGTATCCGGATGTCGCCTCGAAGTCGAAAGGAGGTGACCAGGATTCGTCCGTCGAGTGCCGAGTGGGTGCGCAAAATCTCGGCGTCGATCAGGGGCGAGTCGGCGGGGATCAGAGTCAGACAGTGTTTGCTGATGAAGACCTTGCCCTCGTACTCGTCCTTGATACATTGCCAGAGTTCCGGTTTGATGAAGTGTTCTTGTAGTAGAATGGCGGATGCTTTGAATGTTGATAAATAGGTGTAAATGTTGCGTCGCTTTTCCGGGATCCCCATGCACCTCCTCACGTTCCAGCTGGTGATGGTGTGCTTGATCATTATTGGATAGACGATGTAGACGTGCTCTTGGCGGTAGTGTCGTCCTCAAAGAGTGGGAATTCGGGGAGAATGTCATCCTCGGGCTCGTGGTCGGACCAGCGCTTCTCCTCCTCCACCCCTTTACCCTTCTCCGCTTTCGCCTTGGCCCCCTCGACCTGCATCGCCGCCGCCGCCGACATCGACCTCGTCACCCTCTTCCCCTGACCCGCTACCTCCTTTCCTGCTCGACCTTTGACCCTGTTCAGAACGCGCTTGATATCGACCGGGTCGTCGCTCGGATCGCTGAGATCGGCCACCGTTTGCGACCTCTTCATCTTCTTGTTCGACCCGGAGCCGGTGCCACGAATGTTGATGAATCGCAGTTGTCCATCTTCCTGACCCCACTCTGCAAATTGGTGGCGAACGAGCGGTTCCTCCGCGTCGAGTTGGGCGTTGATGATCGCCTCCTTTTCTGCTTGGACACGTGCAGCAGCTTCGGCGTTAGCTCGGTCCCACTCCGCACCCTCGCGCAGCGACTTTGCCAACGTCTCAGGAGATAGTGGAGGCCACGAGGGACTCCGAGGAGTCGACTCGCGGGAAACCGTGGTGATCGTCGTTTGGTCGTCGTCGATGATCATGATGCTGTCGTCCTGTACCCCCTGTTCCTGCTCGACCTCTTCTTCCACCTCCGTCTCCGTCCCTTCGTCCTCCTCCTCTGCTCCATCTTTCATCACGTCATCCCCATCGTTTCCTTCGTCCTCCCTTTGTTCGCTTCCCTCCGAGCTGTCGTCCTGTTCGTCCTTGTCGTCGTCCTTGTCGTCGCCTCCCGCCTTGTCGATGCCCGCTCCGGCGTTCCCATCCGAGTCCGAATCCTCGTCGTCCGCCTTGGCGCCCGTATCCTCGTCTCCTTCTTCGACCTGCTCCTTTTCCTCGCCCTCCTTTCCTGCATCCTCCTCCTCGACGTCATCCTCCTGTCCTCCTTCGACCTCGAGCCCCGCAAATCGGTTCCGCGATTCGAGTTGGTCGGTTCCGAGGGCGCGGCTAGGGGCCACAACCTCGGAAGCGTCGTTGTCGGTGTTGTTGGTGTTGGTGGTGTCGTTGTTGTTGTTGTTGGTGTTGGTTGGGTTGTTGTGGTACTTGTTGTGCCTTCCGGTGTTGTTGTTCGCTTCCTTCTGCCTCCTCTCCTGTTCCAGCGCGCAGGTCTCCACATGCCCCACAAAGTGGCACCGAGCACAGGCCGCTTCTCGTTCGTAGTCGTGACGAACCGCCGTATGCATGTTGCCTCTAGTGGCTAGAGAGACCTTCGACGGTAGGAGCTCCTTCAGCGTGTTGTTAGGGGCTTTGAAAAGGGCGTCGTCGTCGAAGCGGATAAAGGCCGAAAACTCGCCGGCCAAGTGCGCATAGGCCGAGTCGTTATCGACGTGGATCACTTTCACTTTCACTTTCACTTTCACTTTCACTTTCACTTTCACTTTCACTTTCACTTTCACTTTCACTTTCACTTTCACTTTCACTTTCACTTTCGAAATCGCGCCACCCACCACCTTCGAAGCTACAAGTGATACATCAGCCTACATTAGCATGGAGACCGGCGAGACCGGCCCACCCCCACCATCGGCGTCCGCGGCGACGAGCGTCCCGATTGGGACAAAGGAGACGCAAGTCCCTATCGCCGCCGCGACCTACGCCACCGCCGCGATTCAAAAGACCAAGCAGACTCCCGAGCAGCAGACCCAACAACAACACCGTGCCAAGGCTTTGACCCAAATGTTCGAAGTCATGGGTGCTGTACCGGGCAATCGCACCGACCGGTGGTTGCAAGCCACCTTCGCCACCGACGAGTACCCTGTCGCTACCGCTACATCGCTCAAGTATTCGGCTCTCAACGCCAATCGATCCATTCGAAACATCTTCGACTTTGCTCTCGACGTCACTTTGACCGTCCAAGGCGCCTCGAAGGCCTCTCCCGCGGACAAGGCCGATCTGCTCGGTTGCGTCACGAGACTGCTCTCCCCGCAATCGCCCCTGTGCTTCGACGCCGAGGTCACCCTTCCCGAGCACCTTGCGGCGTTTGCGCCCCAGATTAGGGGTATCCAACACTCGTCTTTCGTCAGGGCCGGTGTGGTCAACCACCGTATCTCCGTGGGATTCGTTTCGGCGAAGGCACGTGACTCGGCGCTTACGGCCCCACTGGCGCTTACTTGGCACTCTGCAAAGGCTCACTTCGCAAAGGCCCACCACTTCTACCACAACATGGTCGAGCTGCGTATCAACGTCGGTGTCGCAGCGGTCCCATCCAGGGATGCCATTGTTGACTCTTTTAAATCACGCTTTTTTTTTTTTTTTTTTTTTTTTTTTTTTTTACTGGGGCTCATAAATTGCAATCCTTCGGGTTGGCTGGGACCGCTACAAAAAGAGCTAAAAGAGGTTATAAAGCAACGACGGCAAGCAATTGGGTGAAAGTCAAACCCCTGCGCGCAAAGAGCGCTGCGCAGATCAAAACCCGCCGAGCACCTAACGCGGACTCCAACGGGCGGTGAGTACTGCTGCCGCTTCACGTCCCAAGAGCGGGAGCGAAGATACTCGAAAACCAGGCAAGAGCGCCTAGAGAAAGAAAAGGGGAGAATATACAAACATTCACGACTGGAAACACGGAGAACCAGGAATACTAAGACAGAGAGGAGGGGAGGAGGAGGGGAACACACCCGAGGGGCCAAGGGAGGGGGTCGAAGCCAGAGCTAGAGGTCCCCAGGGACTGACAGGCCGCAGCCAAGCCCCAGCTACTCGTCACCCCGACAGCGCCTGATGTCCTCCCTTGGCTGAGTCTCGAGTGCTGGCTGTTGAGCCGTCGGGGCCGAGCGAAAACGATCCAATACAACGAAACGAGCCTCGCCTTGACGCGAGGATATTGACCAAAAAAACGAGCGACCTTTCTTCCCGATCCATGCCGTAGATCTTGACCAACGCGAACGAACGATCCATTCGACGGAATCCAACACACGACTTAGGAATAAAAGGAGAAGTGGCTGAAGCGTAGTCAACAACCGAGCAACAGGAACGAGAAGAGGAAGGGAAGGGAGAAAGGGGAAAGAGAGGGGAGAACTTCACAAAGCCTCCAACGCAACGACGATCGACCCGGCTTGCCGATCCATCCAAGAACGAAAATCGCTACTGCGCAAAGTAGAGAGAGGGAGAGGTGCGCAGCCTTCCACTGCGCAACAAGTTTCAAGACAGTCAGCTTCTGACCGAAAAGGAAGGGAGGAAAGGAGGGGAGAAAAATGGGAAGGAAGGACTTAACTCGGTCATCACACCTCCCAATCTCGAACCCCAGGCACAAAACCCGCTCGAGAGAGAAAATCTCGCTCGAACGCTCTGAGCGCACTGGGAAGCGAGGGAGGGGCCACGACGTTGTCCAGCTCGAACCGCTGATGAACGCGCCAGCGGAGCAGGTGCAGCCGCTGGAAGCCGATCGCGCAGGCCAGCCGAACCCACATCCATTTCGAGGTCGTTCTCCCACGACCCCGCAAAAGGGGGAGCCCCATAGTCAGCTGCTCCGGAGTGAACGTCGACGGATCGACGTCGGTATCCTCGATGCCGAGCTTGTCAAGCAGAATGCGTAGCACCCCACCCCAGAAGCTGGTCGAGTACGCGCACTCGAAAAAGTAGTGGGACACCGTCTCGATGACCGCTGCATCGTTGCCGCAGAACAGACACGTCGGCGAAGAGGCATGACCCTGAGTATACTGCCTCTTGCGCGTCGGCGTCACGTCGTACATGAACCGCCAGTGGGTGTCCTGCTCGACAGCAGACGCGAACCGGTCATGAAGCCATCTCCAGAAGCGCTTCCTATCGCTCTGAGAAGTCCCATCAGGGAAACGCTTGACACGGTCCTCCCTCCCTGGGAACCGCACCTTGTTCACAAGCCGACGAAGCTTGCGAATCGTAAAAGGTCGGGAGAGCCCAAAGAAGTTGAAGCACCGAGGACGGGGAGCCTCCTTGAGAGGTATCCGAGCAGGTCGCAACGCGGTCTTGGGCAGCAACGCTTTCGCCTTGAGCAACTGACCCACGCGCGACCACACGTGCTCGTGCTGTAGGGCGGGTTCCTTAGAGTGCTGCCAGAACCCGCGTCGATGACCAACCAGAGCCCATCCCTTCCCTTCGTCCCTCCAGTACAGGTCCGCGATCTGCGCAAACTTCGCCACCGCGTCCGCATCGTCATATGCGTGCTGGGCACCTTCAGCATAGAGTGAAGGGAGGCGAGGCGGAAGCGAGAGCAATTCGGGAAGCGTAAGGAGTTCGGACTTGATGGTTGGAACTGTGACCCTGGCCGCTGCAACGACTGCCCCCCAGCGCGTCGAGTCGCGATACAGCTTCTCGACCCGAGCCGTGCTGCTGAAGAACCCCCACGGACTGAAATCGCGGGTCGCAGCGACGAGGCACCTCCAGCTCTCGCGAGCTAGGGGCGCCCAGATCGCCTCGTCCGAGCCCGCCACAGCATCCCAAAATCGAAGCGCCACCGAATGAACGATGTCGCCAATCGAAATCAAACCCAAGCCACCGTCCTCCCGAGCCTGGAACACGAAATCGCGAGCGACGGTATTTCGCCCTGCTCCTCCCCAGACAAAGTCCGTAAGTGCCGTCTCCGCCGCCTTAATGAACCATTGAGGCGGTATGTCGAAGGACAGCACGTGGAGGACCGTCGAGATGATGTGAGCGTTGGCATAGAAAACCTTCCCACTCGGCGAAAGTGTCCGGTCTCGAGCGGCGCGGGTCTTGGCCTTGATCCTGTCAAGAACATGGGTCCAAAACAGTTTCGAGTCACCGTGGCGAAAGAAGGCATAGCCGCACCACTTGAAGCTCTCCCCCTCCTGCACCGTTGGCAGCGCCTGCGCAGTCTCGTCCCGAAGCCAGTTCGGTCCGAGTGGTAGCACCAGCGTCTTGTCCGTGTTGGTCTTCCCGTTGGTAGCCTCGTACCACGTCTGCGACAGCGTTTGCAGCTTCGACAATGCCGCCGGTGACTCCACCACCACCACAGCATCGTCGGCAAACGCCAGATGCGTAAGCTGCGCACGCGGCCCCCCTGGCCACACCTTCTGCAGGTCGAGCGCGATCCCGCGCCGAACGAGGGCGTCGAGGAAGGGCTGGAACGTGATGTTCCAAACCGGGCACGAGAGGGGATCCCCCTGACCGAGACCACACAGCAACCGCACCAAGTCCGTGGGGAACCCATTGACAAGGTAGCGCACCCCCAGAGTCTCGGGATCGTAGAGAGCGCGCAGCAGCGAGATGAAACGCTCACCGAACCCAAAGGCCTCAAAGACCTCGAAGATCCAGGCGTGATCGACCCGATCGTACGCGCTCTGCTGATCCAAAGACAAGAGGGCGCCCTCGGGGAAAACATCAGTGCCTAGCGACTTGAGTTTTTCGAGAAGGAGAGTGAGATGACTTCCCGCGTCCGCTGAACGTCTTGATGGCATGAAACCGTGTTGCGCCGGCGGTAAAAGCTCGCCGAGCACCCCATTGAGTCGCGCCACCAAGACCTTGCTGAGGACCTTGTAGGTCGTCTCGCGCAATGTGATCGGTCGGTATGCCCCCAGTGATTTCAGATTGGCCCCCGGTTTATTCTTGGGCAAGAGCCGCACCAGTCCCTCTGCCAAGGACGCCGTCATTTTGCCGCCCTCCCAAATCGAGTTGAACAAGTCCAACAGCTTGGGAGCAAAGTAGGTTGGCAGCGCCTTGAAGAGCTCGTACGGAATGCCCGAGGGCCCCGGTGATCGCCCCGAATCCGTCTTCTTCAACGCCGCTTCAACCTCGAGGAGGGTGAAGGGCTCGTCAAGCGCCACTCTCGCTTGACGAGGCAGCCGACGACCGAACGTAGGGTCCGAGCGGTCGTCATCGTAGCATTTCGCTGCGCGAATAGGGTCGAGCAGGGACCGGCGTGCGTTCGTCGGGTCGCCACGAGCTGGGTCCGGCGTGAAGAGCGACTGCGCGTGCCGTGAAGCAATACCCAGCGCCTCCTGCATGTCAACGGTCTCGGTGCCATCCACATCCTCCAGCGAGACGATGCTCGTCTGGCGACTCCGGCGGTTGAGGCGCGTGCGAAAATGATCCTATTAAACATAATGCTATCCATTACCGATATCAGTCTATTCTAAGTCTTGCTTCTAATTTTAGAAAATTGCCTTATTTCTATAAGTTTTGTAGTAAAAAGGAGAAAAAAAATGTTAGGATTAAAAAGGCCAAACACTAGAAAGAAAATGTCTGAATATGCAGGAAGTGTTACTGTAGATGTATTAAATGTACAATCAAGTAACGTAATGAACTCCTTAGTAAAATTCTTTAATTGTGGTAATGTATACAATAATGCAAGCTACACCTAATAATACTAAGTAGCCTGCAACATTAATGAATACAGCAATTAAAAATAATACAGAAATAACGGGATTTTTAGCTGTAATAACCATAATACCTGACAAAATAGCCCCTAAAGCTAAGTTTTTAACAAGTTAAAAAAGTTTTTAACAAGTTAAAAAAGGGAAAGGCAGCGTTGAATAGAGCTCCATTTAGTGAAGCTACTAAGCAGTTGATTTCTATGAAATCGGCTAATGTGGGGTTGTATAGAGTTTCTTTGATTGACGGGTCCTTACTACCTAATAATGAGTTGTTCATTATCATTCGGACCTGATACGGCAATGATTGGCCTTCCTTTATTAGATTTTCTCCAACAATTTAGACCAAATTTGTCCTGTAACAGCTTACAAAGTCAATCTACTTCAATTTCGGTAAATCAGTATCATCCTTATTTAGGTTTGTATCCATTTATGAAATAATAATAATCAGATTGACCCAGTATAGGGTATTTAGCTCAGCCAATGTTAAACTTCGATGATTATCTTGCAGAACATTATTTTCAGTGAATATAAAATTCCTGAAAATTTGACTAAGGACGGTAAAGTAATGAGTTTAAGTGCGGTTGAGTTATGAGAGTTATCTAGTGTTGTTAAGTCTAGGCCGACAGGTAATACATAAATTTGAACATAAATTTTATCACCAGAAGATAGGGACCATACTGACTCCTAATATATTAATAGTTGATAGCCATGTATCAATGGTGTTTAGCTATTACTAACTAATTTGGACTATACCTTATTCTTTTTAATAAAAGATGGAAACATGTAGTCTCTGAGGATTGAATTACTCTACAAGTAATCGTCTCCTGCGGATTTCCAATGAGCTTTCATGGAAGGATTCTAATATAATGCATCCCCAAATGCTAACTTACAATGATAATATTATTGAAGCACTCCCCCCCTTTTATTTTTTTGTCTTTTTTGTCTGTTTTTTGTCTGTTTTTTGTCTAGACAAAAAGGACAAAAAGGACAAAAAGGACAAAAAGGACAAAACGTGCTTTAGGTAATTTATGAAACCGTAAATTTCAATCAACCATGGGTTATGGTCTAATGGCATGACGGAGCTATTTGGATAATATAATTGATGGCTTTCCCACGATTAAATAATATTAGTTTCTGATTACTACCTCCTTCATTAATTTTACTATTAGCTAGTTCATTAGTAGAACAAGGAGCTGGTACAGGTTGAACGGTGTACACTTAACATTGTAGGACTACCTATTGATACTTCAGCTCTAGGTTCGAATGCTTGATTAGCAGGATTTATCGAAGCAGATGGATCATTTTAAGTTCGAACTAGTCTTTCTACTAAATACCCACTGCCCCCTTTTTCTTTTCTAAAATCTAGTTAAAAACTTACAGGAATGTCCTTGCAATTCACCCGATGCTTCATTAATTATAGATAAATTAAAATGAGGACCTATTTATATTTTACCTAATTATTTATCATCATTTTATGTTGCTTTTTATCTCTATCTAATAGACAAATAACTAGTGAGAATCAACAAGCCCCTTGGGAAAGGGAGGGGATTCGAAAACAATGCTTACAAATATATAAATGCCAACAAGGTGCGTCAGCTACTATGCTGGGGTTAGTGGTCTAGCGGTTTACGATTCTCGCTTTGGGTTAGAAAATGCGAGAGGCCCCGGGTTCGAATCCCGGCTGACTCCCTGGACTTTTTGGTATTCAAGTCGCCAATCCTCTCGTACGGGTAAAGGGCTTTTGGCCCCACCCCCCCAGTTTTTTTGCAACCCAAACGACCGGCATTCCGGGCTCCGGTTTTCCGTCGAGCTCTCTGCAAAATGCCAGGCCGATTTCACAGGTTTTGGGATCTTCTTTAGGAATTTCAAGTGCTTCGAGCTTTCATTCGAGTCGAGCTAGGTAGGTAGTCAAAAAAAGATGAAGAACGCCAAACTGGGGGTGAAACTTTCGTACACATAACTAGGGGAGGAAGGGGGCACGTGCGTCGATAGGAGGGGTGAGATGGAGGTGGAAGGAGCAGAACTTTCACAATGGCTAAGGACGAGCGCGCCGTGGAGGACAAAAAGAGGAATATCTCGATGGTGATATGGGGCGAGATCCCGCAATCGTCGACGGCGGCAAAGGTGGATACGGTCAAAAGTGAGGAAAAGCGTCGAGTTCTAAGGTGGTCCTCCCGCTCCACTTGACGATGACGTTTGTGAGTAACTGTCAAAACCAAGACCAGAAGTCAGTAGGTACAAAGACGACGTTGGTAGTGAGTATCGGTACTGACAGGAACAAGTTGTTGGTTGCGGCGATCGCGATCGTGCTCTCCCGTGGGTGCCAAGAAGCTGTATCACACCCAATAAAATCAGCATCAGCATCCATCATTCGTCCCAGACTTTCCTCGTCCCACAGCTAAAGTACTGACCATGCAGAATCTTCTTATTAAAGTCGATCGAATCGACGTCGATGATGGGCTTCTTGTTGGCCCCCTGCGCGCCTTTGGCGCCCGCACCTTGCTTGGCCTTGTTGCCCCCAATCTTCTTGGCCTTGAACGCCGACTTGTCGGCCTGCAAGACGATGTCGGTCGTCGCTTCCTTGTCGTAGATGTGGAAATGGTTGTTGTAAGAGCCGGAAAGGACGTGTCTGTTGATGCGGAGAGGGGTGGAGGCGCGAGGGTCGCAGAGCAAAATCAACTGGTCAGTACACCGATCCACGTTGATCAACCACAGAATCATGAACAACTCACTGCCCATCACCAGAGAATGTGCATTCGAACTTGTCAAAGATGCAATCGTTCTCGTACAAATCGCACAGCTTGGACCTCAGATGGTCATGCACGTTGATCGTTTGTACAGGTCGCGATTCCATGTTGATGTCCCAGATCCGGAGCGTCAGATAGTCACGCGAGAGAATGTAACGCCCGTCTTTGGAGAACTTGACGTCCGAGACGGACGAGATGATCTCGCTGAAGAAGGACTTGTTCGACGGATCCTCCTCCTCTTCGTACACTGGCGACACCGTGATCGATGACCAGAGTCAGCCCCACCTTCAATTCATCCATACCCTTCCCACGTATTACAGTCTCGACTCACGCTTCGCATGCTTATCACACAGGGCCTGTTCCCGCATGTCGGCGAGTTTGACCGTCCCTTTCGAACTCGAATAGCAAAACAGGTTGCATGAGATGGGGTGAAACTCGGCCGCGGTGATGACCTCGGTCAGCTCCTCCATGTTGACGGGTTTGATATCGAGGATGTCTGTCAATGCAAAAAAGCGCACCATGGATCAGCTCATCGAGCCAGCGATGTTCGACTCGGGCGGTCGACTCGCTCCGGTTCAGACCTTCCCAAGGCGACCTTGCACTCACTAAAGCTCTGATCACTAATGTTGAGGTTCCACAGGTTAACTCTCAGATCATCGGCACTCATGTAGGTCTCTCCATCCGAGTTGATCGAGATCGAGTTGATATGGTACGCATGCGCGTTCGCATAGACCTTCCTCGGCACGGCCGCGACAATCGTGTCGTGGTAGGTCATACGCGGCAATCGGAGGTACGGTGTCCCGTTCGAAGTGGTCGTTGCCCGCGTTGGCGAGGACGGCGTCAGCCCCGGGATCGCGATCGGTGGAGGCGGTGGTGGCGGCGACGAGGTGGAGCTCCCCCCGCCAAGCGCGTTCGAGTTGGAGGCGATCGAGCCATTGTTCTCTGCGACGACTTTGAGCGATTTCTCAAACACCTTCCACAGTTTGATTGTCTTGTCTGTAAAGATCGTCGGGAAGCAGCACACGTCGTCAGCTCAGAGCTTTGAAGGATGGTGGACGTGATCTCGGCGGTCGCGGTGTGTGTGGTGGTGCCACCGGGAGGCGGGGTGCGACGCCCGCCCGCGCGCCGCGTCTGCCAATTGCACAAGCAGCGGCCTCGCTCGCTGAGCCTCCGGCTGGCCCAAACTGGCTGGGTTGGCTGGCGCACAGGCGCGGGAAGGGCGCGGGTGGGCAACGGGGCGCGAGTGTACCGGTCCGAGAAAACGATGCGAGCAAGATGCATGCGTCGCAGTACTCCAACGCCACATCACCCCGACCAGAAGAAAACGAGTCCCGAATCATGCGGAAGGAAAGGGGTAGTGGTTGCTTGCAACTTGCCATTGGTCGAGAGCAGGAAGTGGGCGGCATTCTGCCTCTTGCACCATCGGATCTTGTTGATCTTCTCCTCGATCTCGAGCGACTTGAGGTAGTCGAACTCGGGTTCGTGCGACTGGAACTCGGTGTAGAACTTGTACTCGCACCCCTTCTTGGTCTCGTTGCGTTCAAAGAGCACAACGCGGCCGCCCTTGTCCCCCGTTGCGAGATAGTCACCCGTGTGATCGAACTCGACCGTGGCTGTGATGGTTTGTGGGAATCGTTCGGGCGAGAAGCAAATTTGAAGTCAGTTCTCCGCAATGGCTTGTGAGCTACCCCTGGAGACGAGGGTGACCGGACGCAGGGCCTTTGGATCCGGACCGATGACGCTGACCGATACGGCCGTCTGCCTGCGCTGGCTACCTGCGACCCCTTCCCGTTGCCGGACTTACAAATGATATCAGCCTCGGTGATATCCTCAACTTCACCCTATTGCGAGAGAGATCCGGACCAAGTCAGTCGCATGGCTTGGAAGAAGAGCCCCTGGGCCCTAGAATCGGAAGGGGCCACCACCACGACCCAACTGACCTTGTCACCGAAGCACTGTGCGAATCTCCACCCCGCATCATCGGCGGATGTGACGGTCGGCGTCGACATGTTTGGTGTAGCCGTGGTCGGAAAAGGCCGATTCACAAGCTACGTTGGATGAAGGAGGCGGATCGCGGAGATGGGAAGGCTACGATGGCGCGACGATGAGGGGGCGAGGCCGGGTTGGCTGGGTGGGGAATGCGTCGAGGCGGGCGTGAGTGATGTGGGGAGAGACGACGACGACGACCACCGACGACAGCGAGAAACGCTCTGACGTTTTCGACAGAGAGAGGTGCGCGTGATGGACACGCACACACACACAGGAACACACACAGGAACGTGGATACAAGTAGTGTCTGTTGGGAGGGGAGGGGAGGGGTTGAGTCTGAGTGGTCGGTGCGCGGCGATAGGACAAGAGTATGTGTGCGAGGCGTGGGGCGAAGAAGCAAAGGGCTGCAACAAGCCATGTGCAGACCGTTCCAGGGCGCACGCTTCCTCGTGCACGGGCTCGTACGGGCGCACGTCAAACGCCCAGTCGAGCTGCGCGCGGTGGTGCGGTGGCCAAACACGCCCCTGCGCCTTCTCGTTCGGGGACGGGAACGATTCCTTCCAAGGATTCGGACACGCCAGAACGGTCGAGATGACTTGCTCCAGTCGGCGATCAACTCACTTGACATGTGAATTCCAACTTTAGATGAAGTCCCGTGAGTCGGGTGTCCTTCGGGAACTCGACGCGAAAGGAGAAGAGAGGATGACGCCGAGTTTTCGGATTATCGGCTTGGTCGGGATGATCCGAGGAGATGTCCCGAAGTCACTTGTCATCTAGGGGCTGCTCTTGTGTTTGGGCCTCCCAGATTATGACGAGTCGAGGATCAACAAGACGTGATTTCAGCCCGACCTCATCTCATGTGGGGAGCCACGTGAGTCAAGTCGAGGAAGAGATAGGGAGGGCCGCCCTTTACGGCCGAACTTCAAGTTGTCGACGCTCGAAATCGAGCCTTTGTAAGCATCGGGGATATCCGAACCGGTTCATACAGCACCAATCTCAATCGACGTCATAAGAATATCATGCTCCATTCCCCGCTCAAAATGAGCACAACACACGCGACCCCTCTTATCCTCACCACCCAAAAATCGCATCACTAACCTTGCCCAACACCCCCTTCCCGCCCGCGTTCCCCGTCCCAGCACCCACGACCCCCGTCGCATTTCTCTGTGCGATCCTCTGCTTATCCTCAAACAAATTCGCATACCCATCGCCTCCCTCTCCCTTGGAAGCAGGTGTCCCCGACGAAGCTGCTACTTGCGCGGCGGAGGAAAGAAAGGATTTCTTGGGCGTGGCTTTGAAAGCTTGTTGTGGGCCTCGGACGTTGACGGGTCGACTACTAGACGAACCAGCGCCGACGGCGTTGAGACCGTTGGCTTTCCCCATGGCTTGGAGGTTCGACCCTGCACCCGTTATGGTATTCGTCGACGTGGTCGTCAAGGCACCTTCCCTCTCGCCTTCTCCGACCCCATTCCCAAACGAGTTCGTCCCCGAAACCAAAGCAATCGCTTTCCTCAATTCGTCCTCATCCACCACCTTGACCCCGACCATCAACACCCTCCCCAAAACGACCCCATTCTTCCGACTCGCTCTCAACGCCGACGAAGGTTCGCTATAAATCAGCGTGAGCCAATTACCTCCTTCCTCCGAGGTCTTGTATGATTCGACGCTGCCGAATTGGGAAAAGTAGGACAACACGGTTTCGGTTGAGGTGGAAGGAAATCCAAAGATGTGGACGGGGTATCCGGGCGAGTTGGTAGTGTGCGAAGAAGGTGCGGGAGCGAGAGGGGTGTGGGTCGGAGAAAAGGGGGACGAGGAAGCGTTCGTCGCCGAAGTGAGGGAAGAAGGGAGGGTGTTATTGTCCGAGGTGAATTCGTTCAGCGACGAAATGGGAGGTGCGTCGTCGTCCATGGCGTTTTGGGACGAGAGATGGCTGTTGCGACCGTAGGGGAGTTGACGGGCGGTGAAACTCGATGGTGAACGGGCGGGATTCGAGCTGTGGGAGGCGTCTCGTCAACGACTTATGAGTGCTGAAAATTAAGAACCGGTCCACGCGGAACACTTACGCATCCCTCTGAGAAGAGATTCCGAATAAGGATTGACTCGCCCCGAACCGGGATCCAGGCGAGCCGGACAAGGACGACCTCCGATTGATGCTCGACTCGGAGGCGCTCGGCATGGGCGAATCCCATGCACTCGTGCCTACTCGCGAGTTATCTTGGTGGTTGAAGGAGGGGGAATCACCGCTCGAGTCGGACTGGACAGATGATCGAGTAAGGATCAGCAGCTGGGCGGTGAAAGAGCGAAGAGCGAAAAGACTGACTGGTCCCAGAGCGGCACCACCCGAAAGGTATCCAGGGAGGTAGTTCTTGCGAGGAGGTTGGGAGCCCAAGGGTGTACCCTGGTTCGATAAACCCCCCGTGGCGGGTGATGCGACATTGGTGTGGTGGTTGTAGCTCGATTGAGCGGGCTGGTTCCAGCTCGAGTAAGCCTGCGAGTTACCAAAGACTTGTCCTTGGCCTTGTTGTGCCTGCTGTCCGTGCTGCTGCTGTTGACCATGTTGTTGTCCCCGCACTTGTTGCTGATTGGGTTGTGTACTGTAGAAGGAGGAAGATGCGCCCCAGGATGGGTTCTGGTTGGTGGTCGAGGTCGAGGCCGGGTTGAACGACGTCCCACCGGGCGACGAGGTGTTGTTGGCGCCCGAGGTGGTGTTGCCGAACGCGCCGAACGAGTTGTTGCGGAAAGGCGACGAGTTTGACTGGGGTGCGAACATGGGGCTCGTTGTGGTGGCTGCGGTGTGGTCGCAGAGCAGATACGGAGGAGAGGGAAGGCCGTGTCGAGCGTTGTCGAGCGCGCTCGGCTCGAATCGGCTCGAATGCTCTCGTAGCGACGAGCGCGATGACCGGCGATGATGACCTGAATGCGCTTCTGGCTTCCTTCTCATCCTCAACGCATACCCGATTCCTCAACCACGGCCATGGCGTTCAACCCTTTGTCCGCGTTCGCACGTCAACTTACACCACTACGATCGCGCTGCCCATCTTGCTCCGGCGCCTTGCTTCGAGCCAGCACCTCTTCCTCCTCCTCGGCCGTCCTCCTCCGCCCACACTGGTCCGTCTCCACCTACGCCACCTCGAACGCCCCCAAGCGACCACTCCAAAAATCGACCCAAATCAAAGACGAGGACATACCTCTCCGCCAAATCATCCTCGTTGACCCCGAAACCAATGCGCTCCTCCCCCCCGCCCCACTGCGTACGATCCTCTCCCAACTCGATCGCACAAGATACAGCATCCTCCTCGTCGCTACAGATAAAGGGATTTGCAAGATCTTGGACAAGAAGAAGGAATACGACAAGAAGAAGGACAAGGCCCAAGCGATCAAGGATAAGAATGAACAAGCTCGGAACAACGCTTCACCGTCGTCTTCGGGCGGCGGTGGAGCCTCCGTTGCGACGGGGAGTCCACCCAAGGAAATTCAAATGACCTGGGGTGTCTCGACGCATGATTTGGAGCACAAGTTGAAAAAGGGCCGACAGTTCTTGGAGAAGGGGCATAGGGTTACGGTCATCATCAAGAACAAGGCGGGTGCGCCGCACGTCCCAAAGGAGGCTCAGGATACGGTCATTAGGAATGTCGAGGAACGGTTCGCAGAGGTCGGCAAGTTGAGTAGGGATCCGATTTACAGGGGACGTGGGTCTATCTGGAGTTTACGAGGAAGTAACGCGCAGGACTACCTTTGGTTGAAATCGAGTCTCACAACCTCGGCCCGAGCTCCGTTATGACCGAAGCGAGCGTGTCGGAAGTCGGGAAAAGGCATGTCAAGGATTTCAGAACGGGAGGCAGTATATAATTTAAAAAGTCTGTGTGACCGTGCACGCCTCGTGGCTTTGCGAGACGTCGTGGATCTCAGGGGCTCAGTTCTTGGCGGTCACAGCATCGGCGAGAAGAATCGCCGAGCCGCCGACGGGTAATCTTCCTTCCTTACTAGTAGACGACGGCAGAAGTCTTGATTACTGGTCTGCAACCGTCAGATCGAGAACGTTGAAAATTCTTATCGTGCCCAGCTTAATCGTTTCCTCCCTGCGGGGATTGCAGATCTTTTTTGCGAAGCCAAAACTCGCCGGAAAACTCGTCGAGACTCGAGCGCAAGCATCGATGATCGCATTGAGAATCGAGAGCGCGAGAGATGCGAGAGCGCGTGCTAGCGCCTGCTAGCGCGTGCGCGCGGCTCGACACGGCTGGCGGCGCGATAAACAAGGCCCCTCTTTGACCTCCCTCCTCTTCGCGTGTAAAACGACTCGGCGCAATTTCCCCCCTCCTCTCCCTCAGCCCACCCTGCGTAGCGGTAAACAAATCGGCGTCGCGTCGCTTTGCTCGCCCTCCCACCTTTGTTGGACTGCGTCGACCGGGCCGATCACTTTGGAGTTGTCGGTTGATCGTCGTGGTGTGCACGTGATCGACTAATCCTAGTAGCCCACCCCCGCGAGCGATCACTCAACCCACCACCACCACCACCACTCCGACTCCCACTCCGCGTCCTCGCGCCGCCCACCTCCGACCACCGCCTACCGCGCCAACCCTCGACGCCGTACACAACAACAACATGTCGAGACCTTCCACACCCTCGGGTCGGTCGAACCTGATGGAGAAGCTTTTCAACAAGATCCGTACTCCGACTTCGTCCTCGGAGGCGCAGCGTCGTCGTCGTCGTCCACATCGGCGAACGGCAACCACGCCCAAGGCTCGATCGGCGCGTCATCCTCATCTCCCTTTTCACTCTCCACCGCTTCTCTCCTCCGACGCAACTCGTCTCGCTCTTCATTCCATTGCGGTGGTTCCTCAGCCATGGCGTCGACCTCGTCGCTCGCTTCGAATTCATCCTCGCTCGCGGCAGGCGCTCTCGGAGCTCTAGATTTCGAGGATGACAACGATGTACCCTTACCCGAATTCGAATCCGACGCTTACCTCTCCAATGCATCATGGAACGACAATGGCTCCTCCGTCAAGGCGTCCTCTCCGACGTTCCCATCCTCATCGCCGTCCACATCGCGAACAGCCGTCAACGCCGGAGCGGGGGCGATCAGTCAACCTCGTCCTTCGTTCTCGTCGTCAGGAGGTCGACCCTCGTTCGATCAACTCGACGGACCTTTGAACAACCCACCTCGGTCCTCGTCAAGCATGTCCCGTCACTCCCCGCCGTTACCCTTCTCCAACCCGCTCTTACGATCCAACACCAGCGCCAATAGCGGAGGGGGCAGCGGTTCCTCCTCAGGGATAGGTTCCGTCGGCGTCGATAGCTCAGTGACGGCTGAGGAAATCGACCTTTATCAGTCGGGCTGCGGCAAACGCGAGCGGTTCGACTTCAAGTAGTAATTTGAGGACGTTGGCGAGGAGTTGGACGAAGAGTAAGGAGAAGTTGACCGGTTCGGGACTTTGTTGGCACGAACGAGAGCGGATTTGGTCAATGGTGCCGAGGGGGAGGATGGAGCTGCTCATGCAGAGGATGCGCGTAAAACAAACGAAATGGTGAGTGTTTCAGTGTTGAAGCGATTTACAAAATGAGATCTTGGAAATAACTCTCCGGTCTCTGACCTCCTTCAGGATTCGAGATCTTCTCCGACCCTCGCCTCCTCCTTGTCGCACAGCCGAGTAACTCTCGAACGCCGAACGTCGAACGACCGCATACTCTCCGCGTCCCAACCCGCCCTCTCCACCTTCGCCACCACCACTCCAGCCCTCCCCAGACCAGGTCTGACAGCCTCGACGAAAGCGACGGGAGAACGAACAGGCGGTCGAGATGCTCGAACGCAAGTCCTTGATGCAGAGTCAAACTGGGACGGGAGGTACGGAGGTGAAAAAGAGGAGGGCCCAGAGGGTCAATTTGCAGGAGTTGATGGCGAAGAAGGAGAGGGACGGCTTGGAAGGGCCAATTAGTGATGCCGGCGATCACGGGAGAGTGGTCAGTCAACTTTCTCGATTCTCGGATCCGGGACTGCCTGTGGCGCAGCATATTGATCACTTTCATGATCCCTTCGAGTTGTACAGCATCCGAATCGAATGCTTCGCCGCCGTTACGACCGCCCCTTTCGCCGCACAATCGATCCCGATCTGAAGTGACGCCTTCGTCGCCTCGCCTCGTGTCCAAGGACAGAGCAGCGGCTACCGTGACTATCGTCTCGTCATCTTCGACCTCATACGCCCGACCTGGTTCGTCTTTGTCGCAATACAATACCTCGTCCAGCACAGACACCTCTCCGCCGACACTCGGCAGCAGTACGCGATCACGCTCGACTGCGCAAACGACGGCGACAATGAACATAACCTTTCGACCAACGCGTCGCCGCACCCAAAGTCCCATCCGTTCCTACCGAAATGCCAGAAAGTAGCACGATGCTCCGCCAACGCTTCTTGGTCAGTCGAAGTTCGACCCCTCCGAAACCTCTTCAGGTCCCTCCCGAGTCCGCCACCCCCACCTTCAAAGCCCGCCCTCGAGAACAAGTATCGCCTCCCTCGATGATCCACCTGAACGGGAAGCCGAAGGACGACCTGAATGCGCCCTCGATGATGACCTACGCCGCTCGACGAGGTGCCTCGATTGATGGCGGTAACGCGTCAATGTCGAGGGAGGAAACGATCATGGCCCTCCCACCTCGTGCGGCATCAAGTATCGCCATGTATCGCGATGAGATGCCAGCCCAACCGATCCATCATGCGAACTA